AAGTACTTCTTCACCCAAAGAGTGATTAACACATGGAATTCACTGCCACAGGAAGTGGTGGCGGCTACAAGCATGGACGGCTTCAAAAGGGAATTAGATAAGCATCTGGAGCAGAGGTCCATCAGTGGCTATTAGCCACAAGGTATAGAGAGGAACTCTGGGGCAAGTGATACTCTGTCTTCTTGGTGCTTTGGGGGGGGGGGTCAACAGTGGGAGGGCTTCTAATGTCCTGGCCCCACTGGTGGAGCTCCTGATGGCACCTGGTATTTATGGCCACTGTGTGACACAGAGTGTTGGACTGGATGGGCCTTTGGCCTGATCCAACATTGCCGTCTCTTATGTTCTTAGACCTTTCAAAGCAATCTTCTTCAGTTGTACGGCTGAAAATGGCACCCAATTTCCATGTAGGGGGTTCCATTTTCAGCCATACAACTGAAGAAGATTGCTCTGAACTGTCTGGCATACCTGGGAAGGAAGTTTTCGGCTGTTAGAAGTTTACTTGTGCTTTGGGACATCCTCTGCCTTTTTTGTGGACTTTGAGGTCTTTTGGACACTATTATATTCAAAGGATATAGAGGAGTCTCTTGTTGGATATTTTCCACTATCATCAAATTGTATTCTGAATTTGCAAATAGCATTTTTGAACTGTGACCACCAATTCCTATTGTATCTTCAATTTATTGTTATTGTATTGCAATAGACTGATGTCTACTGTTTACTTGTGAAAGTTGTGTATCTTTTGGTGGTCTACCTTTGCAGTCTATATTTTTGCAGACGGCACAGACTGGCCGGACGCTTCTGAAGGCTGCCCAGATCCTTGGTCCCGAGCCGGGCGGAGCCCTTACCTGAAGCAGCCGTGGCAGCGCAGGACGTAGCTCCGGGCTTGATGGATCAGCAGGCCATTCACCGCCAGGACATGCAAGCCCATCTGCAGCAGGACGTTCTGCCCGGCAGAAGAAGTCCCTGGTCAGAGGTGGGTCAGAGCACCCCACCTGGCTAGGCTGGGGCCGAAGGGCTCTCCAGAGGCCCAGTCCCCAAACCGCAGGGCCTCTCCTCGCCAAGCGAGACTCTGGGGTCCAGCCAAAGGCCGCTCCTTCTCCACCATGGCCTGGGAATGCTGCCCGGCCTCTGCTGCGAACGTTCTGGATTCCGCAGGAAGCCTGCCTCCACCCGCTTCCAAAATCAGAAGGGCCTTCCCACCCTCCTCCTGAGTTCCTTGAAACCCCCTCCCTTCCTTACACCTTCTTTGGCTGTGCCGCACAAGCCATGAAAAGCTGCCCTGGGAGCTCCAGCAACCACTCGCTGCTCCTGCAGCATCCCCGGCCAACGTGGAAAGGAATGAGACAAGCAAGGCCGGCTTGCCCTCACAGCCCCCCCCTCGCCCCCACCCCGAGCGGCACTTGCCTGCATGGCAAAGTCCGTGGTCAGGCAGCCAACCTGCACGTCTGCAGGCTCCGCCCCTTGCCCCGCCCCCTGCTGGATCTGCCGGATGTTGCTGGGCGTGATCCAGCCTTCGTCTTCCTCCTCCTCCTCCTCCTCGCTCCCATCCTCCTCGGCACTCTCCCAGCCTTTGGGCTCCCCTGGCTCCACAGAGCCACCAGCCGCTTTCTGTGGAAAAGAGATCGATCGAGGCAGGCCCGAAAGGCCAGAGCATCTGGCCAGCCCCTGCCCCTGGCCCTCCGGATCGGTGGGCACCCCCGGGGCCTCTCACCAGCAATTCCCGAATGTCCTCCTCAATGCTGGGCAAGGGGGGCCTCCAGAACATGAAGGAGCCAAACGCGGCGTCTTCAGCCCCAGGAGAGCCGGGGTGTCCTTGGCCTGCCACGACCGGAGGGCCCTCTTCACCCTCTGGGCGCTTGGTCTAGGGTCAGAGGGAACAGGGGTCAAATGCCAGACCTTTGGGCTAAGCAAGACCCCACCAGCTTGGTACACGGAATGCCCTGGGTTCAAGCCTCGGTGTCTCCCGTTGGAAAGCCAGAGGCGACATCAGAGACTCTACCCAGGAGTCAGTCTGGCCCTTCCCCAAGATAGATGCTGAAAGGTTCATGCTCCAGGGAAGCAGGAGTTGCTGCATGCCAAGCACTGGCACAGCTGCGCAACTGAGACTCCGGGGAGCCAGGACAGTTTCCCACTTGCAGCAGCTGCAGGGGCAACCAAAGAAAACCCCCCACCCCCACCCCAGCCAAGACCATGGGAGCACACTGCCCCCAGTGGCTGAAGGAAGAACCCCTTCCAGAGGGCTGACTAAGCTGTGCCTGGCAGAACCCCTTCCAGAGGGCTGACTAAGCTGGATGGAGGGAGGCCTAGCAGGATGGAGGGATGCCGTTCCCTGGGCAAGCAGCTACCTTAGAAGGGAGATGGAAACCAGCCAGGTGGACAGGTGCCTCGGGGTGCTGGTTCGTTGCGCTGAGCGTGACCTGTGTGGATCCAGGGAGCAGGAGAGGAAGAACGGCACGTGCATCAAGGGCCTGCCTGAAGCACCCTCCTCCTTGAGAATCTCCCCCCTCCCATCAGCTTCTGAATGGCTGCTGCTGCCACCACCACCGGAAAACATTCAAAAGTGGCTGGGTGGAAGAGAGTCAGACACACAAGCTGCTCTTAAGCAGCCTGGTTAGAGAAAGGCAAAGAAAGCTTTCATTTCATTTGTTATTTATCGTCCGCCATTGTCACTGAGACATGGCGTGGATGACGCCGAGCGAGTCAACATGATCATCAGGATGGGATGTCCAATAAACAGCACAATAAGGTTTGGATTGTACAGATCTGAACCCAAAACATCAGTAGTAACATAACAAGTTTGTAGCAAATGGATACAGTTTGAGGAGCTTCTAAGCAGGCGGCCTGGACCTTCGGGTTCCACTTATCTCTGAGCTGCTAGGAGGCTTCTGGATGGGGGGCTCAGAGTCCAAGTTCTTCCTCCCCCCCCCAGCCTCACAGTGGAGGTTCCGCACGGCTCGGAAGCAGTCCTGCCTGGAGCCGATAGCTCCTGAGCAAATGCAAGTAAGGACTCGGCCCCGGCCCGATGGCATGGCTCTCTCCCCAAGTCCTTGCATCAAACTGTGGTGGGAATGGGGAGGGAGGGGGCCGGGGCACAAGGGAGTGCTTTGCCCCCCGCAGAGACCCACCTGTTGCACGGGCTCTGTCTTCAGGTGAGCTACCCCAACGTGCTCCGCTTCCAGCTGGTAGGTCAGGGCCAGCACCTGGAGGTCCGTGGCCGAGAGACTAGGGTAGTCGCCGGTCTTCTTGGAGAACTCCGTCACTGGGGAAGAGGAGAGCTCATCAGGAAGGAGGGAGGGAGAGAGGGAGTAGGGTTGCAGGTACGGGTTGGAAAATACCTGGAGACTTTGGGGGTGGATCCAGGAGAGGGTGGGGTCTGGGGAGGGGAGGGGCCTCAGCATGGCCCAATGCCATAGAGTCCACCCTTCCAAGTGTAGGACAAGGGGGAAAGAATGTGATTTCTGACACTCTCTCCTTGCTGTATGTTGACCGCTGTCACTGTGCCTTCAAAAGTTTAATCATAATCTTGGTATGTAACGTAGAATCTTCTGATTAGAGAAACTTACAGCAGAACATATATATTTTATAACTGCATTTTTGTGTATAAGAAGCCTTTGTAGATGGAATTAGGATGCAATAGAAATGGAATGCACAAGCTGCAAGGACGCTGAGAGCAAGTTTAATGTGATTCACAGCTAGCTCTCCATACGCAGGTCAGAAAGGAACCCAGTGTTCTCTAATGTTCCGATTGTCCTGGAGACCAGATAAATAAATGCAATCACTGACATACATGACCAGTATAAGGAGTGACCAACAGTAAGGTTCAAAGTCAAACGATGCTTGTACGATGTTAACTGCTTGGTGCCAATTAGAGATTCTATATGAGATGCCATTTGGGGTATAAGACCTTCTGCCCTTCCTGGTTATGGCAGAATACGGCTTAGAATCCATCAGTGGCTATTAGCCACAAGGTATAGATAGGGACTCTGGGGCAAGGGATGCTCTGTCATCTTTGTGCTTGGGGGAGGGAGCAACAGTGGGAGGGCTCCTAGTGTCCTGGCCCCACTGGTGGACCTCCTGAGGGCACTTGGTATTTCTGGCCACTGTGTGACACAGAGTGTTGGACTGGATGGGCCATTGGCCTGATCCAGCATTGGCTTCTCTTATGTTCTTATATGGAGCAGAGGTCCCTCAGTGGCTATTAGCCACAAGGTATAGATAGGCTCTCTCAGTCTGGGCAACTGATGCTCTGTCTTCTTGGTGCTTGGGGGGGGGGCAACAGTGGGAGGGCTTCTAATGTCCTGGCCCCACTGGTGGACCTCCTGATGGCACTTGGTATTTTTGGCCACTGTGTGACACAGAGTGTTGGACTGGAGGGGCCATGGGCCTGATCCAGCATTGGCTTCTCTTATGTTCTTATGTCTGGGGCAAGACCCCCCCCCCCCCCGCCCCTCGGTATCCCCCGTTCCCACTGCGAGGGATCCATCTGACGCGACGGGCTCCGACGGCGTGCTTCCCGTTCGGCGCAGCCCTGGTGGTGAAAGCGGGAGACGCCCAGGCGCCACCGGGAGGCTGGCTGGCAACCCAGGAGAGGGGAGGGGAGGCGGGGCGCTCACCGAGGCGGAGGTACTCGGGGCCGGGCTGCTTGAAGCGGAGCGGGTAGGGCAGGACGGCCAGGCGCCGCCGCGTCTCCTTGTCGCGGATCTCGGCCACCACCTCGCGGGTCGTGTAGATCTGCCGGCCGATCTCCTGGGGCTGCTTGAAGCGGAGCGGGTAGGGCAGGACGGCCAGGCGCCGCCGCGTCTCCTTGTCGCGGATCTCGGCCACCACCTCGCGGGTCGTGTAGATCTGCCGGCCGATCTCCTGCGGCGGGGAAGGGAGAGAGAGACGGGGGGGTCGGAGCGTCCACGGCCGGGCCCACCCCCACCCGCGCCTGCACCCGCACCTGCACCCGCGCCTGCACCCCCACCCCGGCCCCCCCCCCGCAGCGGGGGCCC